TTATTACTTACCCCACTGGCAGACAATTTTACTTGTTTAAAGGAAAAACTCTGAATTTTGACTTCTTTATTCTGAAGTTGAAAACAGAACAGTATTTTTTACTTGATCTAAGAATATTTAGGTATTTGGATTAGAAATGAGACAAAGCAAAAGAAGAAATGCATGCTTTGCATTGTGATTATTTAATTTCTGTACCTGAAATCCGTGAGACTCCCCAGAAAACTGTCAAATAGTGCTATTCAAACTATCTTGTGAAACTGTATTCATATCGCAGAAAAATAAAATATTGCTATATCAAATTGCAGTGCAGCTCTAGTTAGGTGGTTCATTTTGCTGTGATAATCAGGTACTAAGCTGACATACAAATGAATGAATAAATATGATTGTTTTGCTTGTTTGAAGACAAAAACTCACTTAATTTTGACATATTATTTCTTAAAACAAGACTTTGTTTTTTCTCTGTCTAGAAAACGCTTCTTCATTTAAGAATTTTTACATATTTGGGCTAAAAATAAGACAAATCTATGTAAGGAAAGCATTGGTTTGCAGTGATGGAAGTAACAGGATGCTTGCTTTGCATGACATGCATTGGATGTAGCTGCATTTGAATGATCAGATGACCATATACATTACGGCTGCACGATATTGGAAAAAATGGACGTTGCAATATTTTATTTTTCTGCGATATACTTTATCTAAGACTTTATCCGTCTTTCGGATGAGACGTTAAACCGAGGTCCTGACTCCCTGTGGTCATTAAAAATCCCATGGCACTTCTCGTGAAAGAGCAGGGGTGTAACCCCGGTGTCCTGGCCAAAGTCCCTCTATCGGCCCTTACGATTATGGCCTCCCATTCATCCCCTTCCACCGAATTGGCTCTATCACTATCTCTCCACTCCACCAATAGCTGGTGTGTGGTGAGCGCACTGGCGCCGTTGTCCTGTGGCAGCCGTCGCATCATCCAAGTGGATGCTGCACACTGGTGGTGGTGTGGAGGGACCCCCCCCCCCAATAATTGTGAAGCGCTTTGGGTGTATGGCCATACACAATAAATGCGCTATATAAATACACATTACATTACATCTACAATTTCACTAAATGATTGAATAGCACTATTTGAAAAGGATGTATAGTCAAACTTTATTTTAAGGTTCAATTCTCGCCATTAGCAAGCCATTACCTTTGACAAGGGCCAGGCGGAATTTGCAGACACTTTTCGCTATTTCTGCGCAGAATTTTGTTGAAAATCCGTGGTTTTATGTGGAATGCTTTTAAGAGTATCATAACTAAAACCTTAATGAATGATGAAAAGTAATTAAACAAAAAAAGTAACACCTTTTTAACTTGTATTTATTGTCTACAATGCAAATCCAATTAGATCCATTTTATTTGGTAAACAAAGCAAGTGTCTCATATAATATATCTACTAAAAGACAGAAAATATCACTTTACAAACTATATTGTAAATAAATCATAAATATTTTCATATTCGTCAATTACATATCTGAAAATTAATTTATAAACTGAATAAATACAAATTTACACACATTTACACAAGTAAATAAACAGAATCAATGATGGGCTTTAAATCAGCGGAATTCTGCACGCGCAGATTCCGTGTGGGCCTAGTTATGACTTTTGCTTCAATATACTCCTAATTTGCTCCTTAATAGATATTAAGGTAGTTAAGGTTTTGGGTTAGCGATGTAGAAAAAGATCATACATAATATAGTTTATAAGTAGCCTACTAGTAAGCAGCCAATATCTCAATATGCATGCTAATAAGCAATAATGAAAATTTGTCCCTAAAGTGCTATCAAATGTGTTCATTTTGATTGATTTGGATGATTCTGTAGGGCAGTGAATCATGCATAAAATATAAAAAGTAAATGTGAGTATAGATTTTGCAACAAAGCAAAGATAAAAGTAAACAGTGCATGCATTATGGTTTGGTATGTAAATATAATAATTACATGCATATTGCATATCTATGCGATGTGACTATTGCGGATGTGTATATTGAGATATCGATGCTAAATCAATACAGTTCAAGTCAGAATTATAAGCCCTCTGTTTTTTTTTTTTTTTCCCAATTTCTGTTTAACGGAGAGAAGATTTTTTTGAACACATTTCTAAACATAATAGTTTTAATAACTCATTTCTAATAACTGATTTATTGTACCTTTGCCATGATGACAGTACAAAATATTTTACTAGATATTTTTCAATAAACTTCTATACAGCTTAATAGGGGGCCTAATATTTTATGACTTCAACTGGATGTACTGTACTTTCTATTAATTAGCTTTTTTTTTAATAAAAAGGCAGAAATGTGATTCAGCAAACTGTTTGGCAGCTCTCCTCTCACACCATTTCAATTATCATGGCCATCATTAAAGACTGCAGTGATCAGTGCTTGCTTGTACATTACTGGCTTCTCCTAAATATCTGCTGTTAAACTATGTAGATGCTGATAAAGCAATCAGGCTTTGTCTTTTTAAGGTGAGGTGCACTTTGATTTGTCATAACGGCGGCTTCCAAACATAGGAAAAGAGAAGTGAAACGTGCCCTATTATCTGAAAATGTATCTGTGGTTTAACAGCGTTTCTCCATCAGAAAGTCCACACACACATGCTTTCACATGATTAGGTCAGTTTGGAGTGTTTAGGAGAGCAGTTTCTCTTTGGAAATGTTTGTCGTTGTCAGCTTGCGCAATAGCTGTGTTTTGGACTTGTATATGTTGTGGGGGGGGGGGGGGGGTGCTGGGGGATGTGCTGTAAATTCTTGGTGTAGAGTGAAACTTGTTGTCAAGGCTTTTGCTTTTAAGGTCTGCTGTTGTGCAACACCATATATTACACCCTCACCCTTTCATATTGTATATTTTCAGTGAGGCTGCATGCAGTAAACTGTTATATAGTGAAATATTGCTCTTTAAAAGAACATATTTTACAATATAATGTATTTCTTATGATTTCATGAGATATTATGCATTTTCATTGGCCACTTTCACTATTCAGTCTCATATTTTTATTTTAAAATAAATCTAAAATGCTTAATTTTCATTTTGATGGTCAATTATTATTAATGATTGGTAGTAATTTTGAAGCCTTTTCTGTCTAAATTATTGAAACCATCTGTTCGTTCGGAAATCTTTTATAATTGTAATATAT